ATATTTATGGTGGTTAGCCATGTAAAGCAACATAAAGAAATTTAGTGGTTTCTATAGATCATAAACAAGGTACGCTCTATTTGGAGGAAGCTTCTAGTTCCGAAGTACGTTCTAATGACGAAGTTGATCATAATAGATGGAGTAAGAATACTTTACTACATAGTGAGAATGAGTCATAAAGGGTTGATAAGGATGCAAGAACATCAATGGAAGTAAACACTCCAAGTTTGACATGAGCGATGCTAGAAATTCCATAAGGAAATTAATTAAGTTGTTGTTAAAAGCGAAAAGTGAGTATTTTGAAAATGACCCAAGGTGTGATACTATGTTTTTCTTATCACATAGAAAGTTGCATCGAGGGAAAGAAATAATAGGCTTGGATCAAGAAGCTAAGTGTACAATGTCCAAAAATCCATGCCCCTTGTTTAAAATTTAAACTTCATTTATAAAAACTCTTAGAAAAAGAGATAACATACACTTGGTGTGTCAAATATAATAGTTAAGAACATAATGGTAGTAATTTTCTGGAAAATATCAAAGTTTTAAAATTTTCTAATTTTGGAAACTTTCATGATTTATAATACGAAAAGTGACGTAAAAGAGTAAATTAAGAGATGTTTTGAAATCAACGTTCTGATAATGTAATATAAACATATTAGGACCAAAATGTTCTGAAATGACATGCTCAAACTCGAAATCATATTTAGGAAAAATGGAATACCTAAATGAGAGAATTGTCAAAAATGTCAAAGATGATTATTATGCCCTTACGAAGCATACATGAATACTGAAATGGAAATCCAACTCTAATGGAATGAGCAGGAATGAAGTCAGGGATACAGTTTCGAATAGTGAGTACGCACCAGCAGTGCATGAAGTCTTATTTGTATCAATAGGAGGAGTCAAGTTATTCACTCGAGTCTGCAATCTTCCAATGAGCTATACTGCCTTTGCAAGCTACTCATTGCCTTTGCCTCATGTTTAAGCATCTTTGCTCTGGGATATGTTGAAGGCCTTTGTGGTCAGTAAATATAGTGCATTTGGTTTCATATAAGTGCTGTCTCTACATTTTAAGGGTGAATACTAATGTTCCTAACTCTAGGTCGTGTGTGGTATAGCTCTACTCATGCACCATCGATTACCTCGAAGTGTATGCAATAATCTCGTCCTTTTGCATCAATGCACAATCCTAGGATTGGTGCAATGTGTCACAATATTTTGTGACATTGTTCACACCCTTTGGTACAATCAGGGCCGAAGTGTTGCATAACTTGTGCTCTACCAATTTGAATACATCTTCTTATTGGTTTTACAAAAAGAACTTCCTAACTTTTGGGTCACTACATTTAGTGGTTGGGTGATCTTAGAGAAGTACGAGGAATTTTATAGTTGGTCGAACAGATCGTTGATTCATGGAAGAGAGTATCAGTGTTTGATGGTCAACTTATTCAGTTCTTTATAATCGATGTACATTTGATCGATCCATCTTTCTCTTTAACGGATAGCGTCGGTGCACCCCATCATGAAGAATTTAGACGAAAGAACCCTTTTTTAGAGGGGTTTATGGAATTGACCATATAGCTCTTGTATTTCGGAAGGTTGCTAAGCGGTACAACGCTTTAATTTTAGGTGTTACCCCACAAATTAGGTCAATTCTAAACACAACCTGCCCAGGCACGAAAGGTTAAGGCAATTCCTTTGGAATTATTTTTTGGGTTGAAGGCGAGACATCTAACATGTTGGTTTTTCAGTTTATATGTTGGATATCAAAAGGTTGGAAAATAGTTCTCTAGATTGGTTGAGGAGAAGGACCTAAGGATTGCTATGTAAATATTAGGAATGGGCATAGAGAGAAATATAGTTGATGGTATTCTAAAACTCGCTCGAAAGAAGTATATCCGAAAATTCCTAAGAAGTTCTTATGGATAGGAGCAACCCCATACATACACATTTGAGAAGTCACTTAAGCCTTTCGAAGAATCAATCTCCAAAGAGAGAGAATGACCTAGAAGGAGTGGCCAAGGCCTTTTTCATATTATTAGTTGGCAACATAACGTATACGACAATATGCACTAGACCAAACGTTCCCCGAAATGGGATAAGAAGACTATGCCATTGTGGTACCTTCCATCGTGAAGTAGTTCTCTATAATGATGTTCGAGAGGTAATATCTCCTCCGGATCTCAAATGATTTTGTAATAGACCGATTTCACTCCACATTACACCCTTTGAACTGGAACAATTTTGGAAGGGATCCGACCTTAGGGGTTGAGGTAAAAGCTCGTGGAAATAAGAGATGTGGTTGTATGTCATTTAAAAATATTTTTTTATTTAGCTCCTGAAGCTCACAAGGCGTTTTCATCTTATGCATTAAATTATATTCCAGATAACTTGAGGGGTTTCTAGATTTAGAAGATATTTTTGTTATGCTAGCAGCACACTACAAGACAATTGGAGTTACGTCCTTATAGCATCCTAGGGCGACTAGTGATATAACTTCGCCCGTCGGTAAGGTATGCGGTGTAAGACAATGAAGATGTTGACCTAAGGAGTCGATGACACAACAGAATAGTGCGTAGGTCTCCGGACTCCGATCCCGTAGAGGGGTCCTTTTACGGATCAGTACTGAATGGGTTAACGAATGGGCATCCGATAATGTAGAGTTTGACCTAACTAAACTATACAAAAGGAATCCTAACATTTAGAAGCATTTTAGTAGCCTAATGTAACTTGATAGCTATGTACACCTAAGGGCTTTTATTTTTTATTTAGATTCTAAACAGATCCTAGGTTGTTCATACCACTTATTATAACCAAATCCGGTCTTGCACTTGCTCTTCCTTAATTATACATAGGTGATCAGGCTATGTCTAATTAAGGTCCAGTAATGCACTACCCGGTTTAGTTATACTAGATGGCATGATTATTAACTCGTTGGTTATAGTTTAGGCTTTCCCAAGGGAAAGGGAAAACCGGTTTTTTCTATAACATTCGGCTCTGATACCAAATCTGTCACACCCCGTCAAAGCGGAAACACGAAGGGTGACAAGCTAAGGTCTCATAACACAAGGTAAATAGGATTACCAACCATAATCATTGAGCATTTTTATGTTTACATCATATTTGAAACAATATTATATTTTAGTTCCATACTACATAGTCTAGTACATAACTAGAGCAATAAACATAAATCATTGTAGCGTCTTAAACTGGCTCACTGACCTTTTCCTGAAAATCATGCAAAAATGAGGTCAACTATAAAATAGTTGGTGAGTTCACAGGTTTATATAGGTACATCATTTCAGTAAGAAAATATAGATTTTTTCAGCAAAAGTTCCAACTCTAAATCAGTGTTGAATGCCAAAGCACTCCATTCACAACCAAGTGTAACGACCGTTCTTGCCCCATTCCATCATGTCCATGGTTCCCATGATGTCAGTTCACGGAAATATGCACTCACGGTTCTGGGTGAGTGGGGGCTGTCCACCCCAAATAGTGATATCCATAAGACTGTCAGCTCGATATACGAGTTAATAGGTTGTAGTTCGGTTCTTAGGGACTTAACATACAATGTTCATAACAAGTTCATATCAAGAGTTCATAGCATAAAGTTCATAACAGAAAGTTCATAAAAGAGTATTGTTCCAAGTTCATCAAGTTCATAAAACAATATCGTTCCAAGTTCATTAAGTTCATAAAACAAGGCTCAACAAGTTAACAGAATAGAGTTTAGCAAGTTTGTAAAACAAAGTTCCACAAGTTCATAAAATAGTACGGATATCTCATAAAACATTATCATGTTTTCCACCCCAAAACATGAAAACAGTAAAAAGGGGCTGTAAATACTCACAGTGATGCGTGAAGGTATTTGTGATGCCTTGAGCTAACTTCCCTCACGTCCTACTACTGATTCCCTACGATAAGGTTACACACTAGTAAGTCTCTAGTCGAAAATGTAACACTAGTATACTTCATTTCTACAATAGATTTATGCCAACATTGTGTCAAAATTAGGTTTTGTATAAGTTACAAACATTTTTCTGTAAATTCATATTTCCATGGATCAATTTGTTAAATAACAAATTTAAGTTAACAATCTTATTTTTGGCAATGTCAATTGAAGTGTAACTATAACATTTTGGAAAGCGTTTCAAATTGTTAAATATTCAAAACTAAATCAAATAAGTTGTAAAATTTCCGAAACTTTGTATTTTAGTTTTAACTGAAGTCAAAGACATTAAAATAAATCTTCTTGAATTTTTTATTTGTCTAACTATTTTTCACCAATTTAATTCCTTGAAAATATCATAAAATTGGGAAAATTTGTAAATTATCACGGAAAATTCTTAAATTTTTTGTCTTACTGCTTCACAGTGTCCCTAAACTGGGAAAATTAATAAATGCCAATTTTGATCAATAAAACTCAGTTTTATAATTTAAATGTCTTTTGCACCAAGAAATGTTTATTAAATATCAAACAATAATTAAAAATCACCAAACTTTTTTATTTGTGTTCCAACTGAAGTCTAGGACTTCCAGAAACGTTTCCATGCATTTCGATATGTATAGATATTTTTCTTTTATTTAACCACTTGAATCCTCACAGATTCAAGAAAAATAGAAACCAGTTAATAAAAATTTCAAATATTTTTAAAAAACTTATATAAAATGCATATAATCTGGTAAAAATTATTAAAATTGGTTTTTAAACAACTTAACCTGATTTTATGATTTTTGTGTATTTATTTTATTAAAAATGAAAATAAATATCAAACAGTTTAGAAAGTTTCCCAAAACTTTTATTTGTGTTTAGAATGTAATACAAGAAAATATAATTATTTCTTGTGAATTTTAGAATAGTTTAACTATTTTTCCTTTATTTATTCTCATAAATAAGCATTAATTCATGAACAACTAGGAAAGAATCCCGCGTTGCGGGTGTTGGAGTTGTGGGGTTGGATGGATACGCCAAAGAAATGGACAATTCAGAAAGATTTTATTCAGTTACATTGAGCACCAGATGTCTGGTAAATCGAACACCAAATCTGAAATTTTAAAATCTTACATTTAGTCAAAAAAGATATATAAAAACATATGTTACAGACGTCAAAACTCTTGTTCCTAGCAGTTGAGTCATGCAATGCCTTTTCACATACATCCGCCACGTCAGCACAGCTGATCCCCTATAAGTAATTAGCAACTTCATGTCATTAATAAAAAAAATTAAAAAATTAATTTTTTATTTTTATATTTTTATATCACTATCCCTATTCCCACCTGCGATATCCTGTTTCCTTGATCAAAAATCAAAGCTCGTTGTCCCCCGGGTTCTTCCTGGGTAGATCATTCAAAGTATAGTTCCTTTATAAGAAAAAACTTGAAAATATAACATTGTAATAGAAAGAAATGAAAGCATGATGCTATAATACAAAAACATATGAAAGTAGCTGATATGTCCATGGTGAATGTGTGATATTTACATCCCCATTCTTGAATCCAGTTAGAGTAATCTGACCCTGAAACCCTGCTCCATCTTTCTCAAGAAAGGCGCCATAGTTCTGAATCATTAAATTCCATGAAAATAGAGAGAATCAAGTCTATGGAATTACATATTAATATAAACTCTATTATATCCAAACTTCAGCAAACATATTTTATGATTTATTATTATTATTATTATTACCTGCAAGCCCACTGTTTTTATAAGTTGGTAATGATCTCTAGATAATCATATAATCATAAAGCATAAGTAGGTTACTGAAATAGTAGATAATGATTATATAATGATATAATGACAATTAGTTAGTTACCTATAAGTTTGCCATTAATGAAGATGCAAACCAAATCACGCATGCTATCAATGACAAGTGATGGATTACTTGCATTTTCCTCCCAGTGCAAAACATCCTCATCAGAAACATATATTTTGCATGTAATTGAAGCAAATAGGCATTGTCTTAAAATATCAAAGTACAATGAAAGTATATTGTTACTTCTTGCATCTAACCCTTTTCCTAAATGATGCATAGCAAGCTTACAAAAGGATGAGAGATTGAGAATCAGTTTATAGGGTTAAGAAATTAACCCTCATAATATTAAAAAGGTACTTAGTGTTGTGATGGTGTATACCTGGTGATATACCATAAACAATCTGATCGATCTTTTGTCACACTTAAATGCTCCAAGACACCTTTAAAAGTGAAATTATCATCACCCCAAGGACCAATTGGCTCCTTAAATGATGCAACAACAAAGCAGAAGGCGTGGTTGTTGGTGGGCCGATTGCTGGACTGGATTTAAAATAGGGTCGAAGTGTACTGAAATTCAAACCATTAAGTGGATTCACTAATATAAATTAATCTAATCAAGGTTAGGAGAAAGGCAATAACCTAAGACCATTCAAATTTCTGCGTTAACTGGGATGAAAGTAAGTACCAAAAGTAAAATTGGCAATACCCTGTACATAAAATCTTGTAGGAGATCAGTTGTGTTGCTTCGTCTTATCATTAGGGAGAAGCTTTTGCATCCTACTACCTTTATTACCCACTGAACACAATTACAAGTTATAGTACAGATTAGCAGGTAAGATAACCAACAATGCTCATTTTGATAAGTATAAAGTACAATTATGGGTTTAATTATGTGTCAAGCATTTCATCAAACAACTCATAAATTTGTTACTGAATGACACTTATGTATGGTTTCATCATCCAACCAACCTTTGATAACATCCAACTTCAAAGGAAAATAAACCATGTCGTTAAAATAGATAGTTCCATTAATGGAAAAGAGTAAGAAGAAACATACCCGTATTGATGATGTCGCTCCCTAAAACCATTAGGTTCCTCTGTAACACCAAATATAAAGATGGATTGTGTGCAAATCCACCCAGATGAATGAACCCCATGTTTTCATAGTGGAGATATGGTGATTCATTTGATATGCGGAAGGAGAGTGATCAAGGAAGAAGGCGGCGGGAACAGAAGGGGGAGATATCAATAGAGACGGCGGCAAACAGTGAATGGTCCGATGGTGCTTCACCGTCTTCTTCTTAGCTTAGATCGAATTCCACCGGCGTCGATGTCGTCGACGCCCTCAACACGACCACCGACGGCGGCTTCTACGTCCTTCCTCATGTGTTGGGTCGTCAAAGGTGGAAACATCAGACGGAGCGATGGTATCCCAGGAAGAGATGAGCTATGTAGATGGTGAGGGTGAACTATTATCGTAGCGGTGGACGTAACCAGGACGAAGTTATCATAGAGGTATTTGAGGCGGTGACGGAAGCTTGAGCGGTGATTATTGGAAGAAACAATGACACGAATCGTTATGTCATCGGTTGGGGAAGGGGTGGGTTTACAGAAGATAACACGTAGCAGGCACCGACCCATGATCTGTGAATTAACTATTATATAAATTAAATTCAGAAACTAAACAAAAGAGAAAGAAAATAAAAAAAATCCAGCCAAATGACAGCCAAGTCTTGTTCACCAACACTTTTAAATTAGTATGTATATATAATTAATAAACAGTAAACAAAATTCACCAAACTTTTTATTTATAGTTAATAGGTATTTTAAGATATTCCGATAAAGTTTCATAATTTTTGGACAAATGTAGCTACGTATTATCAATTAAAACCCTTAAACCATTATTAAATCGGTAAAATTAAGAAATGTTCATGGAAAAATCTGTAAATTTTTACATGAGGTATAATGTATATAAGGTGTGAAAATGATCAAATATGGTTTGTGGAATAAAATACGTGGATTTTACAAATTGTTTTTCTTTAACAAAAATAATATCAAACTAAATAGAAAACAGTAATATAAATGCATACAACTTTTAGAAACTTATTTAATCAGTGCATTTGTCATATCATAGATTTATCATAATTTATTGACCATAAAAAAACATTTTATATGAATTATTGCTCAATTTTCTTTAAAAAATTACAATAAATCGAGAAAAACGATTTATTTTCTGAAAATGTCCAGATCATCTTATTTAGTAGTTTGGATTCTGGTAAAAATTGGATTTGAGCACAAAATGATTTTTAGATATTTATTTGTGAATAAATCATTTATAAGCATTCTTAACAATGTACTTTGATCATCAAGCCTTTAAGCTTGATGTTCATCACATGCATTATGATTTGGAAACCATGATATAACTTATTTTGTTCAGAATGATGTTTATAAATGAAAAACTTGAATGCATGTGGTTTTGGATCTTTAGAGCTTGTACAACTCAAGTTGATGGATTTGATTTAGGTTTTGATCATTGGATTTCACCTTCTAACAACATGCATGTTGTTTTTGGGTGAAATGTTACCACCATCTTCATCAAATTTGACCTGCATGAACATGTATGTGAATAATCTCAAAGAAAAGTGTAGAAGAGGAAGAAAGTGAAATAAAACTTGATATTTGTTTTACAGAAAAGTGAACAAAATGTAAGGAAATTGATTTTACCTTGAAGACCAACTTCAAATGATGAATATTCTTGAGTAAAATGAGAGATATTTGCTAGAAATTTTGTGGGTTTTGGAGTTAATTCATAGTGGGAAAGAATGGGGGGTTTTAGAAAGAAGAAAAGAGAGAAAAGAGAGATTTTGTCTCTCTGGATACCCAATCTCCCTCTCATTTCCATTATTTTAAATTTTAAATCCTTAGTTCTTATAAAATTATCCAATTTTATAAAATGTGTTTTTGGTTTAGTTTTTAATTCTTAAAACTCTTGATTTTTAAACTAATAATGAGGGATATATGTTGATACCTTAAATTATATTTTACTTGATTATATTTCCAAATATTAATTATTCTAAGATGTTATTATAAGGTTCATAACCATTTTTATAAATTTTGATGTTAGATTTATAAAAATTTAGGTTTTTAGGGCTTTTAGGGTTTTAAGAAATTTCTTAATCTTTGGATATCAAAACAAATTGAATTTTTGAGACTTCAAATTATTTTTGGGTTTCCTAACTCTTATTCAAGTTAGAAATAATGTTTTAATTTCTTTTTGTCGGTTTATTGGCATTTCTATGTAGTGGTTCCGAGATTCACATGAAATTGAAGAACCAAGTATACTAGTCATAGTTTCAACTTTGACTTAAGTTCCTACGAGACTCAGGCCTAATTAATACTACTAGGTCAAGTGCATGATGTATCTGTATGATTCATGAAAAGATGTTCAAGTCAAGGAATGACCTGAAATTGGATAGTCGCTACAATTAAAGTAGTTGTAGAATTCACATATCAATGTGAAATCTAAGTACACTATCCTTTGTTTCTAATTATTTCCAAGTTTCTAGTAGGTTATAACTTAGCTTCTAGCTACTAAGTATAGCATGTGTCATGACTATACGTGCAACTAAGTTTATTCAAATCTAGAACCGACTCGAATTTTGACGGTTGTCACGGTTGATAAGGTGCCCCAGAAATTGCACCTCGTGCAACCAGAACTCACACTTGCAGAACTTTGCAAAAAGTCTCTCCCTCCTCAACGTCTCTAGCACTTCCCTCAAGTGCGCCTCATTTTGCTCCTGGGTCTTAGAATAAACCAAGATATCATCAATGAATACTATCACAGACCGATCCAGCATCGGTTTGCACACGCGGTTCATGAGATCTGTGAACGCGGCTGGAGCATTGGTGAGCCCAAAAGGCGTCACCACGAACTCGTAATGACCATAACGAGTCCGGAAAGTGGTCTTTTACACATCCTCATCCCTGACCCGCATCTGATGATACCCCGACCGCAAATCAATCTTGGAGAACCAAGATGCACCATGAAGTTGGTCAACAAGATCATCAACCCTCGGGAGTGGATAACGGTTCTTTACTGTTACCTTATTCAACTCCCGGTAGTCAATACACATACGATGAGACCCATCCTTCTTCTTTACAAACAAAATCGGTGCTCCCCAAGGCGAACTGCTCGGTGGAATAAATCCCTTGTCTAACAGCTCCTGCAGTTGTGTAGACAACTCCTGCATCTCGGGAGGAGCCAATCGATATGGTGCTTTGGCTATCGGAGCCACACCTAGAACCAGATCAATCCTGAACTCAACCTATCTCTCCGTAGGCACCCCAAGCAAATCCTCTGGGTATACATTCGGGTAATCCTGCACAATCTGCACATCATCCACGGTCGCTTTACCCTTATCCCAGGTATCCATAACATAGGCGACATATCCTGAACAACCTTGCTGAAAATAGCCTATGGCCCTCGCTGCTGAACACAAAATCGGCCCACGCTGAGATCTATCTCCATAAACCACTAACTCCCCCCCCCCCCCCTCGGAGTCCGAACCCATACCAACTGCTGCTCATAATCGATCACTGCCCCATTAGAGCTCAACCAATCCATCCCCATGATAGCCTTGTTCCCCCGCAATGGAATGAGAACTAAATCCACCAAATACTGCTCACTGAACAACTGAAGAGTACAACCCCGATGAACTCTCCCAACCCGAATAAACCTATCATCATCAATTTCAACATCAAGAGGATAATCCAGCTCCCTCGGAGCTCCAACAAATCTCTTGCTAAGCGCAAGTGAT